CAATGGGCAAAGTATTGAATGATGCAAACAGATCAAAAGAAGATTGGAGGAATACACAGAGTCACTGTACCAAAAAGAAATGATCAATGTTCAACCATTTCATGAGGTAGCATATGATCAAGAGACAGTGATCCTGAAGAAAGAAGTCCAAGGTACATTGAAGTCATTGGCAAAGTACAAGGCACTGGGAATTGATAGAATGCAAATTGAAATCTTTCAACAAGCTGATGCAACACTGGAAGCACTCATCTATGCCAAGTCAACTACCTGGCCAACTGGAAGAGATCCATATTTGTGCCCATTCCAAAGAGAGGTGATCCAATTGAATGTGAAAATAATCAGACAAATCATTGATACCCCATGTGAGTAAAGTTTTACTAAAGGTAATACAAAAATGGCTACAACCATACATTGATAGAGAACTTCCTAAAGCTCAAGCCAGATTTAGAAGATGACAGTGCAATGAGGGATATAACCTCTGATGTTAATGGATCTTGGCTGAAAGCAGGGAATAACAGAAAGATGTTTACCTATGCTTTATTGACTATAAAAAGGCTTTCAATTGTGTGGATCATGACACACTATAGACAACATTGCAAAGCATGAGTACTCTGGAACACTTAATTGTGCTCATGAGGAACTTGTACATAGAGCAAGAGGCAGCTGTTTGAACAGAATTTAAAATTAGGAAAAGTGTGTGTCAGGGTTGTATTCTTTCACCATACTTATTCAGTTTGTATGCTACAGCACATAACTCCACCACCATCATGCTGAACAAATAATCTGAGAAGCTGTATTATGTTAAGAAGAATATGGAATTAGGATTTGAGGAAGATTCATTAAAAACCTGTGTTATGTAGATGATACAACCTTGCTTGCTGAAAGTGAATAGGACTTGAAATACTTACTGATGAAGATCAAATATCACAGCCTTCAGTATGGGTTGCATCTCAATGTAAAGAAAACAAGAATCCTCAGCACTGGATCAGTAAATATCACTAAGCAATGGAGAAAAGATTCAAGTTGTCAAAGACTTCATTCTTCTTGGAGCAACCATCAACACTCATGGAAGCAACAGCCAAGAAATTAAATGACATATGTATTGCATTAGTCAAATCTGCTGCACAAGACCTCTTTAGAGTGTTGAAGAGCAACATTGTCAGTTTGAGAACTAAGGTGTGTCTGACCCAAGCCATGGTATTTTCAATGACCTCATATGCCTGTGAAAATTGGACAATGAATAAGGAAGACCGTAGTAGAATTGATGCACTTGGGGTATGGTGTTGGAGGAGAATATTGAAAGTACCATGGACTGCCAAAAGAACAAACCTGTGTTGGAACAATGTTGGAACAAATACAGCCAGCATGCTCCTTGGAAGCCAGGGTGACCAGACTTCGTTGCTCATACTTTGGACATGTTATCAGGAGGAACCAGTCACTGGAGAAGGATAACATGTTTGGTAAAATGGAGGGTCAGAGAAAAAGAGGAAGACCCCCCCTCCCAATGAGATGGTTTGTTTGGCACAGTGCCAAAAGCGATGGAATCAGGTGTAGCAATGATTGTGAGGTTGGTCCAGGACTGGGTGGTGTTTCATTCTGTTGTGCATAGGGTTGCTATGAGTCAGTATTGACTAGATGACACCTAACAACATTGCTGGAATCCATAGAGGCACAAGCCATTTGTTTTATTGTAGTTTGGATGAAAGTTTACAGAGCGCATTGTTTGTACAAACCATTCTTAATGGGAAGAAAAGAAGAGGCATTTTTAAAAGGAAATATGACCACTTGTTTAATTTGTGCGGTCAGTATTCTTTTGCTGAAAATGTGTCATGTGTAAAATGTTTTGGAACTTTTGAGGCTTTCATTGCTGCTTCCACCCATTGATGAAATGGGTGGACCATACTGGAATGTTTGTGAGAAGGATATGAACTACTTGTCATGCTGCAATTAGCCACTTAAAAAAAATTTGGTAAGTGTGTGGTGGTGATTGAAGCTCTTTGTGACCCACATAAGAATTTGGACACCAGAGGTCTTTTTGCCTGTTGTCTGTGATTTCACTTTTCTGTCCTATCTGTGCTTCTAGTTTGATGTACTTCAGGGAGTTAATCTTATACGCAGTACTTGCAGACCAAAGACATTATTCTTGATAAGGTGGAGGCAAAGCTAGAGACACTGTAGGACAGCTAACTATTTATTATGGCCTTTCAAGCCATAGTGTTGTATTCTATGACATATTATAAAGACTAGCCTCATGCCTGTGTACAGGTGGAATGTCCATTATATTGTACTATATGTAGGTCGAATCTCTCATTCAGGGATTCTGTAGAATTTTAGGGGAGGTAGAGAAATTTCAGATGTTTTCCTTAATAACATATGACTCCTTTTTATACTCAGTTTAAAAAGATTCCAGCCTAAAAGAAGTTAATGAACTGAGAACATGCCACCTGCTGTGCCGCTTTACTATCTACCAGTTTGATGTTAGGTTGCATATGCAAGAATGGTATAATTGGGGACACAAAGAGACTAGGAAGTGAAAAGGAAAATGTAGGAGTGCTCTAGTTGAGGAGTGCTTTTGTTGTTGTAGCTAATTGTCATTGAGCTGATTTCAACTCATGGTGACTTCTTGTGTATCAGAATAGAACTGCTCCATAGGGTTTTCAAGGCTAGATTTTTCAGAAGTAGATTGCTAGAGCTGTCTTCTGAGGGCCTTGGGTAGATTCAAGCTGGGGGTCTGAATTAGACCTTCTGCAAATTCCAATTTAAGAAAATGGGGCAGCCTTGGAACAGATTCAACGCTATTAGTTAAGGAAGCATGACAGTGTACATTTTGTTTCTGCAGATTTACTCATCTTTCATTTTCCGCCCATTCTAATCTGTTATGTATAGCTTTGTAAGTCACATAAAAAAAAAAAAAAAAAA